TAAAAATAAAAGGAAGCCCGAGAAGGTCATGTTTCTTGTTTGCTTTTTTTTTTTTTTAAATAATGGACCCTTCTTTCATTTCTATAACCTTCCTGTCAGGTGTAGGTTTTCTTTGTTATAATTAACTGAAGCAACAAATCTGCAAGCCTGAAACATTTGAAAACCTGATGACAGCGAGTGTTTTAATGGCAATTAACTCTTTCCATAGTCCACCATTTCACAACGAATTATACTTTCCACCTGTCTGTCAGGTGGAAATTATACTTTCCACCTGTCTGCCAGGGCGCATGTTCTTCTAGACCAGTGGGTCTCACATTTCAGTATGTATCAGAATCACCTGGTCATCTTGTTAAAAACTGATGGCTGGCCCTCGGAGTTTCTGATGTAGTAGGTCTAGGTGGGATCCAGGAACTTACATTTCTAGCAGATTCCTTGGTGATTTTGATGTTGCTGGTCTGGGGAACCCACTTTGAGAACCACCATTCTAGACTAAGAATCCAGCCTTACATTTACTGTGCACCTACTACTCTCTGCCAGAGCTTTAAAGTTCTTTATTTCTAATACGTATTGCAATCCTGAAATAAAGATGTGTCTTATCACCATTTTACACCTGAAGAAGGATGCTTGTAGCACTCAGCCCACGAAAGGGCCAAGCTGAAATTGAAGCTCAGCCTGTCTGCCCTCGGGGCCTCAACGATCCCCTGCAGGGCACAATTTTATTCAGCTGTGTATCCTCAGTACCAAAGCCTTCAGCCTGCCTTGCAGTAGCTTCTCTAATGAGTGTGTGTTGAATGAATTTGAGATCCACATAGATGAGAAATAGGTAAGAAAAATACTTGTGGTTCTTAAATGAAGAAAAAGGGAGAAGACATCCAGGTAAAGAGAAAATTGCATTGAATGCCCTTTATTTACCTACATTTGGTAAATGTAGGCAAATTGGCATAGTATTAAAAGGGGCCCTTGGATGGAGTTATTTCTAATTATGGAGCCACTTTTCTGTAATCAGCTAGGAGTCTGTTCCTTAACCTGCCTCTGGTTTCAGGGTAGCTGTTTGAGATTGAAAATTAGCTCCGTGAGTAATGCTTCTGCACGTTAATAGTATAATGAAATAAGCACGAGATCTAGGATGATTTTCAAATCTTCCCGTAGAATTATACCATTTCCTATAGCAGAGAAATTCTGCCCGTGTCTGCTCTTGGAACACAGAAGCCATCCACTTCCATCTCTGTCTTCTCTTTCTGTTAAATATTTAGCATGTGAGAATCCATAGGCTTTGACTCTATCTATTTTCCCCGATCAAAACACAGTTTCCTCATTGCAACCTTGTAAGTCCAGCATAACAATGTTGGGTTTGGGGAGCATGGTGCACAGCAGAACTGCACATGTTAGAGACGGTTTGGCAAGTTATTTAAGTGGAATTTTTGGGTAACAAAATGGAAAACAGGACATTTTGTCCTTTATTACGTAAGAACATGGTTTAATGGAAAGAACAAGAGCGTGGAAGGCAGCCAGACAGAAATTCAAATCCTGTTCTCTGCCACTTGCTGGGCAACCTTTGGCAAATATCGCCGTCACTCTGAGCCTTGCGTGCCTTCTATTTAAAATGGGGATGTTTACCTTGCAGGTTTGTGAAACAGCTGATAGAATCTGTTAAGTGTCTTTTACCTAGTGAATGCTTAATAAATGATAACACTCACTATCATCTCTAAGCCCCTGGGCCTGCTTCTTTCTTGTGTTTGGATGGAATTTCTGCTGGAAAGAGGAAAAGAAGATGAGAAACATTGTAGACACTTTTACACATCTGTTCTTGTCATTGTTTTTGGCATCGGTTGCCTCCCTCTGTCCTCACCTTAGCCCTTAGGAGCCAACTGAGCAACCGAATATATTTATGTTTACAGGGTTTACCTATAATAATCATTGAATTTGGTTGCGGTGCTTTATAACATCACACAGGGTATTCATAACAGTAATATTCCAGTGTAAACTGGTATTACTAGACCTTCTGGAGCAGAGGGGTTACTCAGCTGTTCACCTGCCACTTTAATTTTTAAGCCCTTGGGCTTTCTGGGATCTACACCCAAAAACCTGGAGATCTCTTTCAAATATCTTAAGTCCCATAAAGGGACAAAATACCAAAATGGCAACGCTTCTAACAAGCTTAACATGTATTCGAAAATGGCAAGTTAAGGGATTTTTATGTCTTCTTTAAAAAAAAAAAAAATTACCATAACTTCTGGCTGAAATTCAATCCCTACTCATATTTAGAAAAAGTACAACTAATAGTTAGCAAGGAAAGAGAGGAGTTTGAAACTTTGATGAAGAAAAATAAGGCACTTTACCTGAACAAATTTCAAATGGATCCATTTAAAATGAAATTAAGTGGCACTTAACTGGTTTGCAAATTGGGACCTATTTGTCTCAGTAAAATGATTAAAGTCCCGATTTATCCCTAAAATTGGCTTTATTATTACATTTAATTATACTAGAAGATTGTTAAAGACTTGTAGGTTTTCTCTATCCCTGTAAACTGTACTTTATATGACAATAATTGAATATTAGATAGAATAACTTGATTTTCCAAAGAAATATGTTTCTAATATTTTCTTCTTTTTATTGCAGAAATTGAAACAACTTGAAGAAACAAAAGACGATCCCGAGAATAGATTATCGAAAATTTCCCTGGAGTCATTCAATAAATTTCACAGCAATACTGTGATTTTATTAGAAAAAGAGAAGAACTCTCTGAACAAGGTTGAAGGACAGGAGGAAGAAAAAGAAAAAAATGAAGAGACATCTTTGAGTAGTTCAGATAGGCCTGGGGTAGACAACTTGGAAACTTTGAGTGATTCTTTATATGATAGCTTCTCTTCCTGTGCCAGTCAAGGTTCAAATGATGTATAAAGGACTTCTCTTCCCTTAGTGAGCTGGGACTGGAGCACTTAAGAAATGAGGGCGGGGGGTGGCGGGGGTTGCGCTGCTGGGTAGAGATGACAGTAATAAACTATTGAAGTACCAGAGCCTTCATTGTCAAATTCACAGCAGGCAACCCACCAGAGCTCATATCTCTGACAGGGCAATAAAGATAGACTCCATTTATTGTGTTTCAAGAGGATTAAGCGTAAACACACCTATGATACAGAATCCTTAATTTTGCACTTTTTTTGAATATTTGTACAGAAGTTGTAAATTTTTTGGAAGAGAAATTATATTTGTAGCAAAAAAAAAAAAAAGACAGCAATAAATGGAATCAGCGCCATGCTCTTGAAATAATGTACTAAGTCTTAGAAGTTGATGATAATATATATTTTTTAAAATCCCAACTGAAGTTTTTGTGATGTTCATTGTCCTGGTCCTCAAATTGTTTGTGGGTACACTCTGTAAACCTACAACAGGGCCTGCCAAAAAACCAGAGGGTTCCTTCCTCCTCATCTCCATCTCATAAATCTCAATTTGATAGAAATGTTCATTTTAGTGCAATTTCAGATTCGTTGCCAGAGAGTCAGGTGATAGTAATCGGTGTAATTGTGCTTCTGCTGAAAAATGAAAAGGGTCCAAAAGTGTGGACACTGATTGGGAGTGTGTCATTGTATCAGAAATGACCGAATTTTATTCCCAATAACAGTTTTTCCTTCCAGACATTTCTTTAGATTGTCTTCTACTTAGTGCTTCTCTATGATCCTATTATTTGATTTTTATCTTCTTGCTCTTTTTATTAAAATCTGGGCACTCTAAAAATGAAAGCAAATTTCTATTTGCAATGTTCACTTTTAAAAATAAAATTAATGGTGCTACGAAGAATTCTTTTTAATATCCTTTTTTTCTACAAAGACTGTTTATATGTAAGGATAAATTCTATTTTAAAGGTTATGTGTATTTTTTCTAGATGTGAACTATTTATAATTGCTTATGTACAGGAGCTTGTAAACTAGGCACAATAGAAATATTTTTAGGATCTATACGGCTACTTTAGCACATAATTGTTTCTTTAAAGAGTATTGTATGATCAGTGTTATTTGGTTAATTTGTGCAATTTGTTTTATTTTATCTTAAATGAAAATTATGTAAAATGTCCTTGTCTTTCAGACTTTAAAAAATCCTTTTGTTTTCTTTCTGAATAAAAGTTATATTACAATTGCACCCTCTGAAAACTGAAAATAACTTGCTCAAGGACCTTTTGGCCCAGTCAGTTACTTGAATCATGACTCACACGTGCTCTTCCGATGGGTTCCCCGAAGGAATAAATAAACTGGCCCTTTTGCTCTAGAGATAGTAATTTAGCCAATTGTAAGATCAGAGTCTGCAGACAGGTGAGTAATGGTCAAAGCATTTCAGTCTCCCCGAGGGGTTAACCAAATAGAAATGAAAGAAGGGGGGAGGGAGGGAGAGAAGGAGCCCGAGGCAGACGTGGAGCGATCTCTGCAGAGGAATTACAAAGCAAGTCATTTAAGCTCCTTTCTAGACCAGCTCAGCTGGGAGGATGCAGAAATAAATGATCAGCGTTCCGGCCAGAGAGCTGCCCCAAGAAGTGGCCGCGGGAGAAAAGGGTGAAAAGGGGCAAAGCTTAGGAGGCGATTTCCACGGAAATGGACGCTCCCTAAGGATGTGGGGAAAGGGGGTGGGAATGTGCGGATTGGGGGCGGGGGCACCAACACACTCCGGAGGGCTAGCGGTCTCCCGCAACACCTGCTGCAAGGCTCGTGAAGGAAGGCGAAGATAGCACCGGGGCTTCCCCGGGAGTACGCAAGGTGGGTCACTTGGACTTTGCGGAAAGAAGAGGAATTTCAGGGGTGTGGGGAGCAGCCAGAGGCCGAGTCCGAGGCTGGGATGGCCTTCCGGGAGAGGACGTGGGAGTATGTACTAATAATCGGTGGCTTTGGAGAAAGCAGGATGGAGCTGGTCGGCGTTTTGGCGACAAGGAATGGAGGAGAGCAACCCTCTTCTTTACCCTGATTTGCTTTCTGGTGGGACCTCACCGCAGGTGTCCCCGGGACGGGGTTCTCCTAGGCTAGGCGACCAGGGCGGTGTCAATGCACCCTCCAGCGGTGCGCGCAGGCGGGAGAAGGGAGGGCGGCCCGGGCAAGTGCGACAGTCAAGGCAGTGTCCCCACCACACCCCCATCCAGACTGGCCACGCCGAGCTGGTTCTTGACAGAAGGCCTCGGAGGAAGAGGGGGCACAGCTGCACAGGACACCCTAGGGAGCCTGCGAACGTGGAACTTTGCCAGGCGCACGGGAACGTGCGCCCCTCCTGTCAGCCTCCGGGGCGCCAGGCTCCAGCGGCCCGCAGTGGAACAGCCTCAGCGGTGTGGGCTGGACCCAGTCGCTGGGGGTACTGACCAGTCCTGGAAGGCGCAGAGGACATGGAGTGGGGAGACCGCGTCCCTATATGCGAAGGGCCAGCCGGGCACGCAGTCCTCAGACCCTAGTCCGCACCCGGCAGGTCCCCACGGCACCTGCTGCGCCCTCCCCGCGGCTTCCCCAATCTCCAGCCTTTCCACCTCCGAAAACTACCAGTCCTCTCCCGCCTCCCCTCCCCCGCCCCCCCGGCGCCCCTTTCCCAGGAACGTGCGGAGGCGGGAGAAGAGGAAGACAGGAAGGGGGTGGGGATGTAGAGAGACGGACCCAGCCTTCCCCGCCCGCCACCCCCATCCCAACTCGGCAGCCGTCACGTGGTGCCTGGAGTGGGAGGTGGGGAGAAAAGGCGAGACTTTTGTGGGTGCTCCGGATCGCCAGTAGTTCCTTCAGTCTCAGCCGCCAACTCCGGAGGCGCGGTGCTCGGCCCGGCAGCGCGAGC